GGTGATGTGAGAGCCTGGTCCGGTGAGAACCCGGCGTGCTCCGTCCCGGCTTTGTAGGGATGCGAGGTCAATGGTCTAACGACTACGGCATGCACGACTATGCGTTCACCCCCTGCCGCCGTCGGCTCGCGCACGGGAGTACGAGAAAATGCGGAGGAACAAGCGCGTTGAGAAACAACACGAGTTCAGAAGCGAGCCGACCATTGTCACCAAGGCTGACGAGGTGGTAGTGGAGACACGGCGTGTCGCTCACTGTCTCACTTCTGTATTCCTGGCCATCGACGATGTGAGTCTGCCTCGAATGGTTGGCATCTGGATTCCAGAGTGGAACATGGGCGCGGGCATCTTGCGGATGTAACTGTGTGTTCTGTGTATTTTTGTCTTTGTCGCGTCGATAGTGTGACGCAGTAGTGTTATCATCAACCCGCCACATACACCCCCCCGTATTCCGAACAGGTCGTTGAGAAGGCCCTCATACGGCAATTGGGCGAGGCCCATATCATCGATTTGGCGTATCCTACCCACGACGTCGACCTGGACGTTGATCAACGGCGTCTTGTGTACTACATGAGGCGTTAGCTTTTGAGCATCGCTATCTCGCACTTGGGCAGAAAGCGTTTTCTTGCTCGGGCGTTCTTGCCTTTTATCAACAGCCACAAGGTCGGATCCGCTGCGGACTTCCGGGAGGCATATCCGCATTTCAGTGGACTGGAGTTTGTGGCCGAGGCGGGGAACATCCCGTGGGAAGGCAAGGGTCTCGTTTTCCCATCCGCTGAATTCTGTCTTTTCGTGCAGGCGCTTGAGGCAGGGTATAGGTCTGCGATGGTCAACCCCGCCATGGTGGCGACGTTTATGGGGGCTTTGCCGTCGGACGTACGGAATGTGATGTCTACGGCTGGGCCGGTGAAGGCGGCGTGGGCAAGGTGTGTGCGTCTGGTGGAGGACCCTCGGCTCGGCCCCACCTGGGGGAAGGGGTGCACGAAGCGATGCGACGAGCTGTTCGACTGTGTGGTGCAGAAGTGGCACAAATACCGCATGCTCGCTGGAACAAGTGAACTGGCGGGCTTGGAGAAGCACTTGAACGACCGCAAGGAAGAAAAGGCGCGAAGAGACAAGTTGGAGACCGGGGTTGGCAGTCCGGGATCGACCACGAAACAAGGAAAGACGCCCCGGCCGGCCAAAGTCTACACCGCCGAGCAGAAACAGCGCCAATCGGAGCTCAATCGGATCAGCAGGGGTGCTTGGCGACGTTCGACTGTCGACCAGCTGAAAGAACTTGCACTAGAATGCGGCGCCACACTGCATCCGAACTTCAGTACCCACAAGATACTTCTTCAGATAATGTTGCGCTCCTTCGCACCAAGCGGGAATGCACGATGACGATACAAGCCCGGGTTAACTCCGCCCAGCTGTTGTCGTACCGGAGGACTGGCGAGGATGAGTAATGTACGCACAGCAGGCGTGGAAGGTGGTGTGCGACCTGTTGCTGTGTAGTGTATATTGTTGGATGAGNGGGGGGGGGGGGGGGGGGGGGGGGGGGGGGGGGGGGGGGGGGGGGGGGGGGGGGGGGGGGGGGGGGGGGGGGGGGTATTCATAGTCGTGCATGCCGTAATCGTTAGACCGTTGACCTCGTNGGGGGGGGGGGGGGGGGGGGGGGGGGGGGGGGCGGTGACCACTTGTTTGGGCCTTTTTTGTTTCGGCCGTCGACGTATGGAAGGCGCCCAATGTCTCAAATAAGGTACGAGGTCGTTCGATTATCATTTCGGGTTAGGGCGTAGCTGGGTGAGAACAATAAGATCAGGTACGATTAACGAAAATGGGAACGATTCCATCCCACGAAAGAAGCTAACTTCGTCAAAAAAAATGAGATCGTAACGGCACCTTGAGTCCCTTCGCGCAACAGGCAACACGGGACCCGTCTGCGCGTGCAAGCACAGCAGTTGGGTATGAAGAGGTAGCGTCTTTCACCGGTTGATGTGCCTACTTGAGGTCACCAGCCTTGAGCAAGCGGCTGCACTTGATGTCGTTTTCGTGGGAGCAATGACGATTGGGCCGTTGTGTGCCGAACACTGTTTATTCTCCCCACGCGGCGGGTACGAAGACCACGTTTTCCTTGTGGGTCTTTCCTTTACAAGGAGGATGACAGACACGCTAGCCGTGACATGTATGTAGTCATCGGTATACATGAGACTACTTCACTTGTTGCCCGAGATTGGCCCGTGAACACTTCCCGAGACTATCTATTATCCTGTTGTGGCTTGACTAATACGTGACACGTTAGCCGGCTGACACATGATCCAAGGCGGCACATAAACTAACCTAGATGTACATCACAGGCAACCACCGGAACCAAACTATAGCGTTTGAAAAGGAGACAAAAAGGGACCAACTCTCCTAAAGTCTACTACCTCACATCCCATTGGCGTCAAAAACGGCAGCTGGGGCACATGCACTAAGTAGGTGCCACGTTTTTTTCTCGAGTTCTCCCACGCCGACCCTTGGAAACTCAAGGGTGGTCGGCGTTAAGGCAACGGAGCAGGGTGATAGCCGACGAGGACTGGATCAACAAAGAACGCCCTTCCACCTTGAAACCCTCTAAACCTCCTCAAAGAACAGGTTGAAATTGCCGGTCTCGTCGTCGCACTAGTTCTTCTCGCCTGCCCCAATTGCATGCAAAGCCCCCGAGGGCAGCCGATCGCGGTCGACGCCCTAAACGCCAGAGAGAACCCTGAAAGAGGACAAAGATAAACTATGCCATACACTAACGAGCAACTAGCAAATCTATGTGACAACATTAAAACTATGTCTTAGCTGACATCGACTATTAGCGGTATCATCGTGCATGCGTATATCGTATTTACATTCGCAGCTTCATCATTACGAACTCCCTCTCTACAACAACAGCTCCCCACGTCAGTATCGCCATCACAACGGCACCACTTGATTCAAAGTTCACGGATAACTTCCTCCGCGCGTGCCACAAAAGCCGCTGCTGCGGCCAGACGGCGATACCGGCTGTTGCGGCAGCGAGAAAAACCGGTGCCGCTCTCCGCAGACAAGCGCAGCCAGCCTGCCTGCCTGTCCACCATCGCGACGTACAAAGCACGCCTTCGTTTTCGCGGAGAAAAGAGGGTTGCCGATAGTACACTGTTTCGTTCAGGCCCGCGAAACCGCCTCCTCCATGATGGCGGCGGAGCATCATCGCCGCCGCCGATGCCTCTACCGCTGGCAACATCAAATCCTACTGCCGACCTTCCCCCATCAACGCCGCCGCCGCCGCCGCCGCCGCCGCTGCCAGCGTTCTCCCTAAACCGCTGGCGACACCGAACCCTACTGCTGATCTTTCATCATCCTCCGTCGGATCAAAATCGCCGCCGAGGAGGATGGGGGTCCCGCGGGTGCTACCGTCGACACCATCGCGGCTCGGGCGACCCCGTAGGTTACCACGGCGAGGCAGAACGCGGCCGTCGACCCGAAGATCGCGGCGACGAGGAGGGAAACGGCGTCTTTCTTGTTCAGGCCGAGCCGCCGCTGCGTGGACGCGATCAGCCTGTCCGCCGCGGGCGCCGTGAGGGCCGCGAGGGCGAGGCGCAAGGGCTTCGTCGCCTGGCTGCCGAGCCAAACCAGGCCGATCACCTGACACGCAAGAACGGAAGCACCGCGAAGCACGTGATGATTACGGTGTGGGATTGACGTGATGGTTACGGTGGTTACGCGAAAGGATCCTTCGGCTGCCGTGGCGGCACGAAAGGGGTAGCGCAGATTGTGGTACCTGCTTGCGACGTTCGCCGCTAAGGTACATGGGTTTCCGAGCCACAGACAACCATGCAGACAACGATCAACGATACTTTTCCATGCCTCAAAACTCGTGGCTCGCGAAAGCAACACGACACCAGACACAGCAGTGGGAGGCACAGCAGCATGGTTCAGCCGACAGGCGACGACCGAGCGGTGCAAGAGGAATGTCGCCTTCGCCTTCGCGAGACCGTTTCGAGTCAGTGTGCTCCAGGTTTCCGCGCGCAAATGCTGGTGTATTCGATTCACCAGGCCGCTATTTGAGAAAATACTCTGTCAGGATGCAACGGACCGGCACGCCTTGCAACAGAGCAAAAAACAAGTCAACGGAGGCTTTCTTGTCTAACACCAAATCTTTTTTACTGCAACGGCATCCATAATTCTCAAGTGCAGTCACCAACCAATGAACACACACAGTTACGATCAAGAACCCACGCGACCTAAATCTGCATGCAGACACGGTTTCACGCACCTTTCCGAGTTGCTTCACCGACGCGGCGATCGTTCCCTCGATCCCACTCCCTGCCGGTACCGCTCCCATGGGCCCAAGCATGACGAAGGCGATGCCGCCGGAGTACCACAGCCCGTTCAGCACGCCGTACGATACCAACCCTGACGCGGTTCGTGCGGTTTTTGTGCAAGTTTGGTGTAATCGGACGAGAGAGAAGGTTCGTTTAGAGAGGAACGATGAAGAGGGGGGGCTTGTGCTTGCTTGAAGCCCGAAGATGCGTGGTCCAGACACCGTTGATGTATCCGTTTCGACAGTCAGTTTACACCAGTGACGACAACGCAAGCCACCCGCAAGTCGCTGAAATCTGTAGGAACCTCTTGCGTGGCCTTCCTGCGTGCTAACCCCGGCTGGTGCGTTCAAACACATCCAAAGGTGTAAAAAAATGACGTCCAGGAGACGCAGATGAGCAACAAAACCCCACGCCACACGCGACATACACACCAGCCTCTGCCTAAGTACCAGGCAGGTGTCATGCTTGAGAGGATTTGTCATGTCCTCGAGGTTGTGTCGACTCTGCCCCTCGGACTGATCGATTGCAGTAGAGCAAAGCAACCAAGGCACCAACACCGAACGGTTGGTAACGCATCCTCACAGAAGTCTCTCTTGCTCGCTCGTTCACTCTCCTGAAACACAAAATTGCTTTCTTTCAACGCCGTCCCAATCGTTGACGTTCTTCCTACTGTGGATACATCGATCTTTGGGGAATATGGTCAAGAGTGAGTGCTGTGCCGAAACCACGCACACGACACGCCAGGTTTCACCCCCCCCGCAGGGGGCTACAAAGGTCATATCTGTATCAGTCGAATGGTGTCACATTGGAGAAAAACCGCGTCCGCGGGCACGTATCGAGTGAAAGCAGCTTCGGACAAGTACGTAGTGAAGGACAAGCCCTCCCTGACTTCACCTGCCGTGCCAAGCCTTGCCACCAGGCTAATCGGCTTCCCGTCGCCATCGCCGCTGCTACTGCTGCCGCCATCAGCGTTCGGCTGTGCGTCCGAGTCGTCCGCCTGGGCGCGTTTCAAGAAAATGGGAGTGTTTTCGTTGTTGGTGGTGTCGGTGTTGTTTTCCGTGGTGTCGTTGTACGTCAGAGGAGTGCATGAGAGAACACGATGGCCTTCACAACGTTTGCCCATGATGCTCGGTTGTTGCCGGGTACGGTAGGTGACATAACGTAATATATGACCCCCCCCCCCA